TCCGTAAAAATTAAAAACTATTTTTAGATATGAAAAGGGCTTGGCTGCTAACGGCTTGGCCCATACTACCTACCATTTCACTACATCCATTTAAGGCCGGAACGCCCTGTATATGCCTATAGTTAAATAGCGTATACAAAAATTGTTTTTACTTATTTTATTTAAGACATAGACATGAAAACAGTATTTACGTTAATCTGAAAGCTACCGTTAGGATCGTTTTTTCTAAAAAACAAGTACCTTATGGTTTTCCATTATTTACTCTACCTTGTTATTATTATTCCACGAGTTCAACAAATTCCATAAACGTAAAGTGTACATCAGTACTTTTACAAAAGGGTCTACCTGAAAAAACTGGGTATGGAGTATACTCCATACAATAAATAATAGGACCAGATATTTGATATATTCTCAAGACAGGAATCCGTGAAATAGGTCTATGACATGGGCCTTTACAAATGAAAAAACCCAGTTGGGTTCTCTCAACAAACCGCACTATGGCTTTATAAAAGCGGCCTGTTACCTTTACCCTTTTTGAATGGTGTCGATTGCTATTAACTGAAAAGTAATTGAATATTGTACTTGAAAGCGAGTCCATTGAACATTTTAAATTAGCTCAAAATGATGTAGTGCAGCTGCAAGGGATAGAAGGGTGAAAAATTAAATTACATTGGTTCACACCTGTTGGAAAGTAAAGTCATAGAAAAATGTTTAATTTAGTAATTTGCTACGGTTTAACTTACTCGAGTATTTATTTTCACACCATAATTCCCATTTTCTGTACGACTTATTCAAACTCTATACTGTCAGTGAATTATTTTTACTGCCTTTTACCTAAGTACGGCAGTATAGGACACTATATGCACTATATGCATATATGTTACAACTGGTTGACCACTGCTCCTATCGTGGAAATCTAGAACGGTTTACTACGAGAGAGCTTTTCTGTCTATTTTTTACTTTTTTGTTTTTGTTTATTATTTGATCTTTGTTGGTGAGTTCCTCAGGACATGAATTCAAGAGAATCTGGTATAAATACAATTTGCAGAAAATAAAACACTACCGCAAGTTCAAAAATATGAAGCAATATGTACCCGCATGAACTGTGTACATAATTATATATTCGCCTAATATAGATAACACACGTAATAGGTGTATAAATATAACCCATCTATAATGGTACTGGTAATAGTAAAGCCCGTTAGAGCATGAAATAATAATTATAACTTTAGTAATTGGTGAAATTCACGTTATGGGTGTGTTTTTAAAGATTGCTAGTATTCCCAATAGCTTTTGTTTAATTTTAAGAATAATAATAGATAATAATAATAATAATGTTTTATTGCCCAACAGAAATTGATTGCATTTACAGGGCAAACTATGAACCCACAAAAAGAATATATATATAAATTTTTCACCTAACTGGTCTAGACGACAATGACCACGTCTCAAGTTATAATATATATATATATATATATATATATATAACAAAAATAGGAAAATAATGGGCAAAATCCGCAAAAAGTGGATTCGAGCAGAAAATAGGATAGGTAACCCGAGCGATACGTATTTCTGCTGGTTTTCTTCATCAGGCGCGAAATGAATGCACACATGTAACTACAAAAGTAGATACACATGCCCACACATCCGGATACGGGTGTAACCTGAGGAAACGAAGATGGAGAGGAAAAAAAAGACACACGAAGTCCACAACAAGAGCCAACCTACACATTCTGGTATAAAATGGCTAGAAGGCCTCGAATTTTCAAGGCGACAAATAACCACAACCACGCGACCGGTTATAGTCACTTGCTGTGGTACTTCAAGCCCAAAGGATCTACAAAGAGAAAATTTCATGCGGAGAAAGGTATATAACAAAAATAGGAAAATAATGGGCAAAATCCGCAAAAAGTGGATTCGAGCAGAAAATAGGATAGGTAACCCGAGCGATACGTATTTCTGCTGGTTTTCTTCATCAGGCCCGAAATGAATGCACATATGCAACTACAAAAGTAGATGCACATGCCCACACATCCGGATACGGGTGTAACCTGAGGAAACGAAGATGGAGAGGGGCCTGCTGAAGCCAACCAGCTGAAATTACGTATCGCTCGGGTTACCTATCCTATTTTCTGCTCGAATCCACTTTTTGCGGATTTTGCCCATTATTTTCCTATTTTTGTTATATACCTTTCTCCGCATGAAATTTTCTCTTTATATATATATATATATATATATATATATATACGAGTATATATATATTCATATCTAAAGAAAATAAAAAGGAATATAAAAAAGAAGCGATTACATAATACTATAATTAATAATTCATCTGAGCATATCTTTTAGCTGATTTATTCAACACAAAGACCAGACAATCAACATTGACATCACACACGCCACTAATAATATTGATATTAGATTGCAGGTAAGACAATGGTGAATTTAATCCTAAATTTGTATTGCAGCGATCGAACTTAAAGTACTAAGACCTAGGTCTGAATGGCGGTGCATTGAAATTCAACTGTGATAATAGGTACATACTATCTATCATGTTATTTAACAGTTTATGTAAAAATATGAAGGAAAATTGAACGCGCCTCAAATCAAGGTGTGACAAACCAAACCTATAACACAGATGAACCTTAGAAATGCCCGTTATGGGATATCAACCAACACATTTTAAACACAAATATTTGAGAAAACTCGTTTGCAGGTTTTATAAATTATATAGGATGGCTTCCAAACTCAAGATGCATATTCTAACCTAGACCGAACATTTGTACAATATAACTGTTCAAAACATTCATATCACCGAACGCTCTGCAGTTTCTGACAATAAATCCATAGAATTTGAATGCATCTGATATCTTTAAGTTGATATGATAGTTAAAAGCTAGTTTTTCATCAAACCATACACCCAGAACCTTAATTTGGTCAACTGTTGGGATATCACTATTCGCAACCTTATATTGATGAACAATTATCTGTTTTTTTTCTTGAAAACGATAGAATTTTGCATTTTGATACATTCAAGCACAGCTTGTTAGCCAGATACCAATCATGGATATAATCAAGGTTCTGCTGTAGATGTCATTAATTGTTATCAAGATTTTCATAACATCACATATAATAAATTCAAACAGTGCAATACAGATCGTTTATGTACAGTAAAAATAAAAGGGGACCTAAGTTGGAACCTTTATAAAAAACAAATTGTGATCTATTTTCAAGATACGAGAGAAAGAAATTAACCATTAAATCATCTAATCCAAAATTAGATATTTTGCTCAGTAAAATACCACGATCCATCCTGTCAAAAGCTTCAGAGGAATCTGTATAGATCACTTCCACTTGATAATGATTATCCAAAATATCATTCAGAAACTGCGTGAAAGTAACCAAATTGGTGACTGTAGATCTACCCTCGAAAAAACATGCTAAAAAGTGGAAACTTGGCTACAGACCAAAGGATAAATGTGGTCATACAGAATCATTTCAAATTTATTGAAAAAGTTGACAAAATAGACATGGCTCTATAGTTTTCAATTTCATTCAAACCGCCACTTTTGTGTACGGGACAGATCTTTGCCTTTTTCCAGGCTGTTGGAAATTTGGAAGAGCTGAGTGCTAGGTTGATGATAACTGTTAAAGGCACTGCAAGAGCTCGAGCACAGTATTTTACGAGAAAAGATGGAATACCATCTGGACTCGCAGTCAATTTGTTTTTCAACTGTTTTATTGTTCGCCATGCATCGTCCTCAGAGAAAGTTGGCAAAGTAATGTTACTGAGGCTACTACTGACATTCCTTGTATTAACATTCGAATCGAGGATGTGAGATTCAAGTATTGTAAAAATGTTACTAGTTGGTCCGAAACTAGAATGACACGCAATATGAAAAAGGCAGGACGCTAACTTTTGCTATATTCCGATCTCCCAGTTCACTCCGAGTTAAGCAGATGCGCTGGATATAAAAGACGACTAAGGTTCCTGCAATAGTTGCATTCCAATACGTCAACCAATAAAACAAATGAAAAACATGCACATTGTTGCACGGAATTGGTCGATTATTACTGTCACATTCAACTGTTCCAGATTCCTAGATTGGCAATGTAGTAGATCAAATCATAAATTGCAGTAACTCAGGCCTACAGTATGTGTCATTAATCTAGTCTTGCATGGCAAATCTGTTCACAAGTATAATAAAAACGTTAAACTTATACTTTCTTTTTTACTGTATCTTGACACTGAACATTTGCTAAGGCAGAGTCTGAAAAGTAGGTTCCTACAGACAAGTCCTAAAGGGCATCAGAGTCTGGATGTGTCTCTTTCTCATTTTTTTATATGTTTATTATGATTGCTCATTAAATATTATTTTATTCTAAGTATGGAGTCCGACCGAGTTAGATTGAGAACCAAGAGTCTAGAGGGTTTTTCTGACAGGCCCAGGAAACGGCGCATTCGTGAATGAGAGCTCCATAGTAGCCGAAGACTGATTAGAGGGCAGTTGATCACATATAGACGCCAGTGTCCTGAGACATAATTTGCCCAAAGAATATAAATGTTCAGTTTTTGATATTATTTAGATTTTTTTGCCCTTCCCGGGCACCATCCGACAAAAATCCTAGATGGCACTGCAGACTCTTCGGCTTGTTGTACCAGCTCCTCGTACCAGTTGGTACAGTTTCCCTGCCGGTACTGTCCTAAACTCCATCGGTTTTGGTTTCCCGAAGAGCTGATGTCTTTTGTGATCCAGTGCCTCGCGCTCACATAATACACTTAGGGCTGATTCTGTTCCTTTTCCGCATTGTCTACAGCTGAGGTCTCCATCATACAGCCCTATTTTGCGCAGTTGTCCTTTCAGGTCATTGTGTCCTACACATAGTTGGTTTCTACTTATGGAGAGCAGTTCCGCAGCCGTATTTGGTCTCGAGATAAATGCTTTCCCATGCCTGCATCCAGTTACTAAGTGTCAATATTCTTTGTGCTGGTTTCTTACGTATTCTTTGACTTGGTTCCTTATTGTGCGTTTTAGTAGCCTCAAGGTATTTTCTGGGCCTGTTAAGGGTGTGGTTGATCCTTTCCTTGCGAGCAGCTCATACGCCATTTTATTTAGCATCTTGATCTCATTCATATATCGGTCGTTACACCTTGTTTCTGAAAAATATTTGTTTTTTGCTATATACATCAGATAAACTGCTATTTCGCCATTATGCACTTACATTTTCAAGTGTTTCGTTTTTTATTATTATTGCTATTGCAGTATATCTAAGATTGCATTATCGCAAATATTCCATTGACTCGAAAAGCATGCTTGAACTGGGTAAACTTATTCTGTAATACAACTATTAAAAACGAAATCGATCATAAAGCAAAACATATAAACGCAGGAGTGTTTACTTTAAAAGGATTCCACGCTTTATGAGCCGTAACCAGTGGGGCAAGTTTGAGCGTTTGCTGTATATTACGTTGCGAGTAGTCACATTTTTAACTGTACTTACATAGCTTTTGGTATATTTTATCTGCGATGCTTAAAAGTTTGCCATTTTTAGACAAGATAGAAATTTACTTTAAAATAAATTTAGCTTAAAATACTCTTCGAAATCTTACATGGGAAGGTGTGGACATTGACTTAAGCTTTTGGTGACGTCCAAAATATTAATTTTTAACTGCGTTTTCAAGCATTGAAAATTACCATGTCGGTTTTTTCAAACCTTGAATCGCTTATAACTCGAAAACACAACAACCGTTGACGGAACTTAGTGACAGTTTACTTATGTGACATTTTACTTTTCAGGGCTGTCAGACATGCTTATCGAAAACGTAGTTTCGCGTAATTAAAATGAATACCAGACGTTTAGACAACAATCCATTTTCAGACCCCAATTCGTGCTTATACATATTTCATCCGCAATGAAATAATTATCGTTTGCTTTGTATGATGACTGCGAACTTCTACTGTGATATGTCCTTCAATTTACATTTGACATGTTGGTCGGGTGAAAATGCAGGCTGAGGGTTTTGAAATTGTTTACAACCCAGCTTGTTTGCATCCCTATGAGGGGAGTTTCAACAGAATTTGATTAGTTCAAATAGTTCAGTCATTGTATGAATCCGAGAAAGAAAGTTTGTTTGATACATGTAGACATATTGTCAAAAACTGTGTTTATTTCCATTTTGTCTTATTGGTCGGAGGAGTGCAAAAAATACGAGGTAATGTGAAATGAACACGTAAAATTATATGATTCTTAAAACTTCCCCAGAAACAACCAAACAATTGGGCAACACTGCTAGTATTGATAAAATTCGGTAGATTCATGGACTAAAACGGTAGGAAGAAGAATGCAGTGCTGACGCAAGATCATTGATGGATCAAGCTCTCTTGAGTCACGCAAATCCGTCTGTGAAAAAGCTATATTTTGCACTACGAGAGCATTTTTTACCTGAAAAACTATTAACTTTATTACAACTTGTACAATGAGCAGACGGATCGCTCTTCAAACTCCTTTGCAGTCATCCTGGAAACTGCTTCTTCCGTTTTGTTTTACAGGACTGAATATTTTTCCGTTTTACTGATCTTGAAGCTTGAATTGAAATCAGATAGGCTTTGTTTTTCTTGTTGCTTATCTGCGGTAATTGCGCTGATCTACCAGTCTATAGCAGTTGTACGCACAAAAAGCAATACTGAATACAAATCGATATGACTAAAGTGGAGAAAGCGAGGTGAGAGATCTATCTACATAAGCTTTATTTTTGGTCCAAGCTCTTTTTCGGTACAAAATCAGGAAAGATTTGAATTACCAAATCGTGGAAAATGAGGTTTTCGGTATTTCGTTAGAACCTGCTGACGTGTCGCCGGAGATTGTAACTTCTTCCCCACTGTCGTTGCCAGGCAACGTGGTGACGATGCTTATATGGCTCACTCTTTCTAACAAGCTTCTCTTCCTCGTACACATGAAAATCTAAAAGAGAAAACGAGTTTAGCTAACACTCTAATATTCCTAATACACAAAAACCCTTCCATTAAGGTTATTGATCGTGCGCTCAGTTGGACTCGTCAATTAGAACCAATAAATAATATCACATTTCAGATTACATGCGAGATAAGCTGAAAAGATCACAGCGACAAAATGCGTCGGCTAACGATTGTCCAGATGTTAAGCACATTACGCATTGACGTCTATGGTCCGTGTTCGTTCCATGTTAATCTTACACCCAGGCAACGCTAGTGGGAGCTCGATTGTTGCGAAGGTTAGGAAAAATAAAAAATATGATCATAGACATCCTTCGATGCGGGATAAGGACTTGTAATACAATTGGTGATAAAGGTGTATTGATGCAAGAATAAACAGAAGAAAAATGATATTAGTCTATGTAAGCTTTTACATTACATTTAATCAAATGGTTTTGCTTCCGCCACTGGCGAGAGCGTATTGTAATTGGGGAAAAAGAATATATGGCAAATTTTTAGCGGTAGTATTGTAAGCATACACAATGTTTTAGACACCTTTCTGCATGTGAGTCACCCTGTAAAAGTATCGCTTGACACTTAGAATGCTAAGAAAGGCACTGCTGGCATACACATTTCAACAACCACTTACGACCCTGCGTATTCGTGAAACCAAGGGCACGCTGAGGCACAGGCCCTCTTAGTTCATTCTAATATTGTTCTAACAGTTGAAAGGTGGAAGTGTCTGTGTGTTGTGATTTTGTGAATAGTGTCCACAACAAGTTCAGGTCAAGGTTCGATCAATCAAACGGTGAGGGTTTTCACTGGGTATCTTTTATTGTTTTGCTGTACTGCATGTCATGTGTATTTTCTAACCATGGTACCCTTATAATCATGATAATAATTGTAAAAAGTCAAAGCTGGTCAGATGAGATATGTTTATCAACAGTTAAGATAAAGGTAACTTAGCGTCAAACATCTACAGAGGTGTGACGCCTCCATATCCTAGAGGCTGTTATGAGACCTACAGACCGGGTTGCCATCGGGGAATTACTGCTCGGTTTCTTCTGTCAGAGGAAATGTCAGAGCGTATTGGGTATTGACACACCGGCCATTGGCCGGCGTGGTATCCTGCGTCTGTGTGACCGCCTAGGTTCTTCTCGAGGCAATCGCAGGAGTCTGGAAGTCTCTCATGGCAAGATGTGAATAGGGATTGTTACTTAAAGTTGTCACGCTGCTCGGTTATCTCTCAATCAGAGGTAACGTCGGAGCTTTTGGGTATTGACAAGGCAACGTGATATCCTAGTTTCTGGGCTGCTTTTCGTAACAATCAAATACTTGGCATATCTGTCTAAAGCACCAGATTATTAAGGTATCCATATCGGGCGTGACTTCCATGCGGTAGGAAGCTAGCGTTCCCCTGATCATGGACTCGGGCGTGACTTCAAGCTACCGTTCCCCCGTGCGAGGTATTATATTTTCATATCAGGCGTGACTTCCATGCGGTAGGAAGCTACCGTTCCCCTGGTTATGGACGTGGGTGTGACTTCCATGCGGTAGGATGCTACCGTTCCCCCATGCAATGTATTGTAATTTATAATAATATAATTGAGAAATATCATGGCCATTATTATATTGTTTTGTGATCAGTACCCAATTAACATAATGAATAGACAGTAGAGTTGTGCATGTCATGAGTTGGTAGAATATGGAAGGTACTCAAATATCGACCGTATCTCTCGCCAAGGAAGAACAACTCCCCCGTCGTTAACGTCACCAAGTAAGTGGCTTTAAAATTATCCTGAAATTGAAGCCCGTATTGAGTTGTGTATGTACTACTCTCGTAATGAAAGTGAAAAGGTACAGGGTAGTACTTCGAACGCTTGTAAGGTGGAATTGTTGTTTTTACGCTCATCGTTATATTTCTATTACCATCTCTTCATATCTCATTCATATCCTACAGTAGATTTATACGCTCCCAACCCAGGCAATTTGACGAACTTATTAAACTTATTTTAAACATTCAGGGTGTCCTGAATATTAGGGCGTACCTTTTCAGGCAAAACAATACCGGAAGTGTAAAAAAGAAATTGGAGAGAATTCACGGAATTTCAAGTCCTACCTTGTCACATGTTTTGTGTGTAAACACTGCTTGACGTTGTCGTTGTTGGTTCAAAAACACGAGTTTGTTTAACTTTTAGTAAATATTTAAGATTTCATGCTGCATTTTTAATGAATATGGCAATTCTCTTAATGCTACTGCTGAGGTTTTGACACCAGTCTAAAAACATGTGCCGACGCCCATGTAAAACATATTGTCACACATGTAGAAACGTACAGGATATAATCTGAAATGCAAATGCAAGTTGGTGTGACGCTGCCTTGCTACCGTAATAAAAGAGCGTGCACTCTATATGTACACATTGTGTTTCGGAGAAGTCGACATCTCAGTATGGTGTCATGGCATTCCGACAATATCATGAAAAAGCTTGTCGTGAATTTGTTGATGCGAATAGCACGTATGGAGATAGCCGGTGACTTTTTGTGGAATTACGTTTTGTAATGGTTATTGAACTTCTCTGAAGCCTAAACCAAGTGCGGATTTAGGAATCTGTAGGAAGGGGGGAGGGTACGCCACTGTTTTTTCCTGATAAATATTCTAATTGATGGATTGTATTTTACATATGCATGTTTGGATATGATCTGATACACAGCTTCATCGCATATTTCCATCAAATTTATGGCCGAATGTTCAATATTCATTTATTTATGAACCTTATAAATGACAATTACGATAACCGAACAAGCTCCCAGTTTTTAAACCGGTTAAATTATGTTTAATTACTTGTGGTTTTCTAAAGGAAAAAATAAGTGAGAACCGGGTATTTATTTTGCAGGCCACACAACGTGGTTTCAGAATATTTCAGAAGGAAGAGGCGTTTGTTTGTTTAGGCCACAGTTCTTGATACAAAGCTGTAAAAAGCTTTTACTCTCGAAAAGACATGGCTCTAGTTCAAAAGTTATCAACCTGATATAATACTCCAGCTGATACCTGTATCTACCCCACTTCTGAAAGGTAACTGAATTCCGATACTCTCGCAAATAAAGAAGCTTAGTACTTTCTTTTTATCCCTCCAATAGTGGCCTGTACTACGTTTCTATTTAAGACTTATCGCATTTAAGGAGAATTTTGTTTTGGTTTTACTGT